AGATTAGGCGTTCAAAAACTTTATATAACTATTTATTTTGGACGATGCACTCAAATTCACATGTATTATTTTCATTTGAGAACTATTGAATTTTCCATGTTGATTTATAAGAAAATAAAGCTTTTACGAACTTTGGTATTAATGAAAAATATGAACATTCTGTTATTTTTTATATTAGGTATTTGGTCCATATGGTCAACATCTCAGCATATTCATTCATTCACGGTTATTCTGAAATATGTACGATAGATTTACTCGATTCCATGTTCTTGACGGCAAACAATTAAATAGAGGCAAACTACACAAAGCACAAATAGGTGGCTATCCAGTTGTTCTAGACTACTATATGAAGCACACCCATTCTTATAGTTAGAGAAAATAGCTACAAATTTCACGTTGATCTAACATGGTCTAGAAATTCTTGGATCTATTTATTCGATACAAAGACATAGCACAACAAATGAGGGATATATTGCGAATCGATCAAGGAAAACATCCAGCTATCGGCATGTGGTAGACTATTTTTTAGTGATGTATCACTTGCTCCTGTGGAACCTAGGTCAAATGGATTAGAGAAGGTAGACTAACAAATCATGTATTGTATAACATAAAAAGCATGTCATTGGATTTGTAATTGAACAAAGTTTCTAAACATATATTTTTGGTGGTATATAACATGTATTTTGTTAGTCAAATTGATGACCTAGGAACACGTGCATGTCATATGCACCCGTTTGGAGGGAGCAATAAATATTAATATGTTATTATTATTATTATTATTATTATTATTATTAAGAGTTTATGATCAAAATAGAAAAATATCATCGTAATTCTCACACACAGAAAAAAACGCCCAATCACATGTCTGGTGCACACTTCTTTGGGGGCCAGGCCACATGCGTAATGAGTGCAGCAGGTCCCAATTAAATGGACTGTTCCAAAACCCAGCTAGGTGAAGCTTTGCACCGATGGTTCCTACGTGGATGATGGGTCGGCGGGTGCTGGAATGGTGCTAAGAGATGACAACGGTGCCATCATTTTCTCTTCTTGCAGGCAGCTATTTTCTTGTCGAGAAGCACTTGAAGCCGAATTATGTGCATGCATGGAAGGTTTGTTTTTCTCCATCGAGAGAAGTGAGCTACCATTGGAGATGGAGACGGATTCAATTGTTGCAGTGAAATTGATCCAAGCTACAGAGGTTGATAGACCGGTTTACTTGTCCCTCATGGCCTCATCAAGGAGATTAGAGCATCTCCAGCCGTTGAGTCCTTTAGAAGGCATTTTTTTTGCCGCTTGGGGGGCTGCCGGCGGAATTTTTGGCCTGGGGGTGGAAAAGTTTCCAGCCGTGTCCACCCCCAAGCCGTGCCCAGGCCGCGCCCGCCCCAGGCCACGGCCGGCCCGGCCTCGCCGCCGAGGTCGAGCAAAGCGACATGAGCGCGAGCACGAGCCCGACGCCGTCTCCGTTGTGCTTTGTACAGAGGTCCAAGCCGCTGCGCCGCGCCATCCTCGACCGGGGCTTCCGCCGCCTGCTGGACCGCCCTCGCTCCAAGCCGCCCTCGCTCACGCGGCCTCGCCAAGCCACCTCCGGCGCTCCTCGACCGGGTTCCACGCCACGCCGCGCCGCCCGCCTCCCTCCTCCGGCGCCCCTTGATCGGGGCTTCCACGCAACCCCACGCCGGCGATGCTTACCGGCTGCTCCAACTGCTCCTTGTGGTTGCCGTATGATCAAACGCAGTTCCACACCACACGCGCCATTGACGAGGGATATGTGCTTTTGCTACCTCGATGCGGATGATGCCGGAGGAGGACACCGGCGGGTCGGCGTTAAGCACGGCGACGGCGGCCCTGAGCTGCCCCACGGCCTCCTGCGGTGCCGACGCGGCCGGCAGGGCCCTCGTCTCGCACATGGTCACCGCGCCGAAGTCGCTGGCGCCGGCTGCGCGGCCGTTCATATACAGGGAGCACGACGGCCTGACCGAGGAGACGACATACGAGCCCCTTGGACGCCGGGCGGGAGGAGAGGAGGTGGTCGGAGTAGAGCGACGAGGACGGCGGCGACATTGCTGACGCTGCGGCCGTGAGGCGCCGATGCATGTTTCGTCGCGAGGGAAACGAGAGGAGGCGAGCGCGAGGCGG